GATAAGTTTCGTAGATACATAAAATTACAAATTTTTAAAATTGTCCTTTTTACTTACTCTTCAAAACTCTCAAAACATTCGTTTTGAAATCCGCCAAACTAAAAAATCTTACTTCCTTATGTAGCTACTACATGTGTAACTAATAAATAAATAAATAAATAAACATATCAACAATCGTAAAATGGCGTTATAACCAGCAGATCTGAGCACACCGAGCGACATCAAGTGTATTCCCGTGGAACGAACTGGAAATGCGCAATTCAAACAGTTCACGTATTTTTTGAACACGCTATTGCACGACGCATTGTCGTTAGGAGTTCTTCCATCAAGTTTTCATTGACAAGATGTGATAATCATTCGAACCTCTACAAGTCCTTGACGTTCTTTTGGTAAATTCAGATATTACCTAAAAGCCACGCTAACTCACGGTGGTAGTGTGCAGCAGATTCCTGCCTTCCAGCAAGTCGGCTAGATAGCCTGCCACGAGTTGAAAGCATCCCATGGCGACGAAGGGCAGCGCAGACACGAATCCAGCACCCTGTAGATTATACCCCAGGGTATCTGCGACAGAGTTCGGAACTTCATTATAGATAGGTTGTGCTGTGGATTTATAAATCTACACTTCCACACAGAAATCCATGTCGTTCCATAATTTCATTCAACTCAGACAGTTGAATGTCTGTTTTAGTAGCTAACATTTCTTTGTTCATTTTATTTGAAAATGTGTGTGACATAATTTGGAAAATAACAGGTAGGTCACGTCACGGTCAACGTATCGCCCAGCTTGCATGGCACGGAATAACATTTTATTTACAGTTATTTTTATAAGGTGAGTCCTTTTAAATGAAATATAAACTTCTTGAACAATAAATTATATTGCATGGCTGTTCCTTTTTATGTCTCATGTTATAAGTCTATTTACATTACATTACTTAATGTAGTGTAGACCGTAGAATTTTATTGGTAACCCAAAACTAAGGATTTTCCCTTAAAGCAAATATAGTAAAGATTCTCTAGTAGTACGAATTCTTTAAATATATTAGCTATAAAAAACGTTTGATAAACAGTAACATTATTAGCACGGATTTTAACTAGTTTTTCTGATAGTTCGAACAATATAAAAAAAAACAGATGATTTATAACTTCATAATCTCTAATACTACTTTCCATGACTCCGAAAACCTTACCCAATTAATGTGGTTGAGACTTAAATGCTATGATTTATATTGCCAATAAGTATGTTCAACATGTGAGCTTGCTTTAACTTCATCGATCTTTACATCAGCGTCGAAGAAAAAGCCGTACAAAAAATGACGCGCACAGTTTTTCTTTTTAAATAATTTTCCTGAAATAATACGGTGCAACAAAGTAGAATAATTAAAAACTGGTAGGTTAAGTCTTCAAAAATAGTTAATTTCAATGAATTAAACACTTTTACATTACACTGAAAGGTACGTGACTTTTGAATTATGTTTACCTTCCAAATACATTGGAATTTCAGTTTGTACTGTATAAAAAGCCCAGTCAGCGCAAAACATAGCAACTACTCTTGCCAGATACGGTGGAGATGTCAATATTTTTCGCCAGGGATGTGAAATTACCTGCGCATAATAAATACACAAACATAAATTCAGTAACATCGAACATGACGAGACTAATGCAATACGTTAAAACAAGGTTCAATTATTACCTTGGAGCAAACAGTCGCCGTTCCTATCTTCTCTTTAATGTATACACGTTCGGTAAGACTCACTCGCCTGTCAATCTCAGGGCTATCTGCAATTTGTGTCCACCATAGCAACCACCAAAGGACACCTAAGACACCTGATTCAAACAAATTTATTGTTGTCAGAAGATAGGCAGATTTTCAGATTTCCGTACCTCAGACTAAAAAGAGCTTACATGAAGCGGTTTGGTGGCTAGTAAGAAATTATACATTGGATCTTTAATAATTGCTAAGTTGTAAATTCACTACTAAATACTTTTTCCGGCCTTTAAAATTAGGTTACTTGATCGTAACACAAGAGTACTTGAAGTTTACGACTCATGCAAATTTTAGTTTTTGTAAAGATTAAGTGTATTTGTGCGATTGAACAACTTACATGGTTTAAGCCACAAACAGATATTGTAAATACATGTTATCCTATTTTAATTACTTAAATATCTAAAAATACAAATGCCTCGGAATAAATGTAACAAACTGCTTGTTCATGTAAAAGGAGTCGAAGATTGTTACTTATGATAATGAACGTAGGGTAGAAAATCACATATAAATAATCTACATAATTGCAATTTTAAACATCGTGTCCCCGCTCGGTGGATAATTCATCCGTTAGTTTCGAGAGGTACACGTTCTGTTGCAGTCAACTATATTTCGTGTACCTCTCAAACACAGATAAATGAATAGTACCCGTGCGTACCAATCAGGAATGAAAGTCAAGTATCTACCTTGTTACAAGATATTTTTAATTGCATTTTCATTAGGAAGTAGTGATAATCTTTGACACCGCTACATACCCTAGGAGTTTTCGTAATGGTTATTACGTGACATTCTGTACGTTAATGTTCTTTTCCAACAGCCTAGCTTTGTGCTGCAAATATTAGTCTGCAATGCTGAACGGCTGGTGGTGAAGCTCTTAATAAGATAAGCGCTGTTTTAATGTATTTTTGGCGTTGCATTGTGTTGCATTACTAACAAGCAAGCTTGTGAGTTACATGTCCACAAGTTCATTTTAAATAATAACTGTTGAATAACACGTGATATGCTTCTAGTTTTTTTACAATTAGTACGTGTGATTGGGATCGGAGGTTGCGTTCGGTGGGCGACCCACCGGCGAAGTAGAAGGCGGAGGGCCAGCCCCAGTGCGTGGCGAGGAGGCCGGACACTGGCAACGTGATGACGCTGCCCACGTTGATGCCCGTGCCGATTACGGCGGTGAGGCGCGAGCGCTCCGTGGTTGGCGCCCAGCGCGCCAGCAGCTGCGTCGTGCCCGGGAACACGCAGCCCTGCAGAATGCCCTGCAGCCCGCGCCGGCAGGAAGCACGCATGTGGCCTTTACTTTCTGTGGTCACTGTACCACTAAGTGTAGCGCATGATACATCTCTGGATAGGGGGCTTTCCTGCCCATATGGACAGGGAATTCTGGCGCCTACACCCACGTCGAGATTCACCTCCAGAATACTTCCTCCTGCGGGGTACCGCGTCAGTTGGGACAAGCTCTACGGTTCAAGCTAGTCTGCCTTATACGTTATACATTATTAAAAAATTATCTTGCCTTACTTTTAGTCACCATTGGTAAACAATAAATTGTGCAGTGATGTTTTATTAATTTAGGTAGCTCAAAACATCAACAGATGTCACGACAGTGCCTATGACCCCGAGGTTCTAGGTTTCCTGTCCTGACGGTGGCAGGGTTTTCGACATTAAGTAGCTATGTTATTCAATCTCTGTCTGGAGAAGAATTCTAGAGGTTAGATACTCTGATCTGTTTTTCATGGTTTCTCCGATCAACAACAAGCGAATGCCGGAGTACGCCTCTAACAAACGGACCACAGACTGCGCGCCATCTTTCCTTCCCATTCCCTACACTATCATCCCCCTACATCTCACACACATAAACACACTTACACGTACTATACTAACACATTCGAGAGATCGATTTGGAGCTTAGAGCTTGTCCCTGCTGGAGCGACAGCCCACTGTGGATATAACCACGGAAACCTACAAATGCAAGGCAGCCAGGATGCTTGAAGTTTTATCCTGATTTAAATTGAATTCGACTAGCTATGTTGGCGGGCCACGCAAGTTCTCGAGCCCACGTCCTCAGCGTTCGGGGATCATCAATGCTATGCCTGAGCCACACAGCCGCTCCCGGAAGGGACAAGCTCCTGTTGACACGCGGAGGTTGCTGTTGCGGAGCGAAGGCAGCAGCGCACTGGGGGACGCACCTGGGGCGCGCAGGTCGAGCAGCAGGCCCGCGCGCCAGAGCGCGCGGCGACCGGCGCCAGCAAAGCGACAGCAGCGGCCGACGGCGGCGATGCCGCGCGCCATCAGGTTTGGCGCACCGGCGCGCGCCACAGCCACTCCGGCCGGCAGCTGCGACGCCGGCGTACCCGTAGAAGAAGCCGAACATGCAGCAGCCCTGCGTGCGCGAGTCCCAGTCCGAACTCGCCGCCCGCGCTGCCTTCTGCCACACGACAGGACATCCTTGCACAACGCCTGTGTCGAGGCTCGTGGACGTATCATTTCTATTAGGCAGGCGGGTTTAAGTACATGATTCAGACAAATTAGAGAAATAAGCATCCTTCTAGATTACTAATATATTTTATAAATATTTTACCAGATATAAAATAAAGTTGACTTGTACTTTTGTGTATGTCCAAAGGGTGAAACGGTCTCCCATTTAAATATGACCATAACACTTCATTGCAGTAAATTTTCAGTCCTTTTTTTGTTATGCAATTGCAAAAATTAAGTTAATTGAACGGAACAAAATATTTTAATACTAATGTTAATTTATTCTTTTACTCGTTAATTCTTTGTCATAGTGTTATCTACATCTTAGGAAATTCTTCAACGTCTACTAATCCGCGTTCTTTGAAGTCGTTTATTTCAGCCAAAAGAAAAGGTAAACGTCCTCACCCTCACGTCTTGGTCGAATGCGTTCATAGATGCATTGAGAGTGGCGTTGACGGAGGGGACGTCGACTGGAAAAGCGTCCTCCGTGACAGTGTCGGCTGAGGACCCGTTCACCAAAGAGCGGTTCCCTGCGAACGCGGTGGTTGCAGAGCCGTTGGTGTCGGTTGTGGCGTCGGAGAACCGTTGGTGTGCGCCGGTGCCGCTGGTCATGGCAACGATGGCCACGCTGAAAGTGACGCGCGTCGAGTAGAGCGAGATGAAGCCGAGGAAGGCGAGCGCCGCCAGCACGAAGCGCCGCCGTCGCCACAGCGCCCACCCGGTGCCCAGTCCGTCGAAGGCCCCTCTGCAACAAGGTTCTTTTCGTTCCATTCTACCCGCACAGGGCTTTTTTCCAAGACATTGCAACACTTGGGGCCCCGGCACACGAGCGCTCCGAGGACGCTCGTTAAGCAACGTGCGTCATAGAATAACGCTGTATCATGCGCGAAACGACACCCGAGCGCGTTGACCGTCCCGCATAAGGTACAATGTTAATCTACGACGTGCGGCAACAAAACGCTCGTGTGACACAGACCTTTCCTGATTTAAATACAGTGGCACCGCAAAGTCACGAGGTGGACGGTGAAGGGGATACTGCCACTCAATCGGGAGCTTCGTTACAACTTAAATTTTCGGGATTGGATGTCCGGATTAATAACAACGCCCCGTCTTCTTCCATTTCATTAACTTGAAGTGCCACTACGTTTAAATCGGGGTACAGGTCTTTTTTTCCAAGAGTTGCTATGACGCGTGTTCGACTCGCGTTAAGTAATGCGCGTTTAAGATTAACACACTATCGTATGCGGAATAGCCACATCGCTCGGGTGTCGTTTCGCATAAGATACAGTGTTAATCTACGACACCCATTACTTAACGCCCGTCAAAGTAACGCTCGTGTGAAGGAGGCCTTAGTTCGTAGATCCATTATGCATAATCATAATTTAATATTTTATTTTGTTAGTAAATCTCTAAAAAATCATCGCATTAACTATTGACGAGTGTTGTGTTTCTTGTGACGTTTCTCTTATCTTTTTTATACTTTTGAACATATTCTATTTTTTCGTAGTAAATAACAAGATAAATCCATCACGATAACTCACAGATAATTTTTTTTCTTGTGACATTTCTCTTTTTGTTTGATACTTTCTCTTCTGTTCTATTTTTTCGTTAATAAATCCCAATGACAACCCATCACGAAAACTGTTTGATGACAGCTTTCTTCTGAAAGCAGAAATCTTTCTGTTGTCCGTCAATTAGTGAGTACGAAAAATAAATTTTATGAACATATGTGAATAGTATTATGCAAAAATATGCGCCGCAAACGTCCACATGCTTTTGAATTTTGGTAACGGCAATGTTACCTTTACATCAAGTATAAAAAGGGGTCAAACATTTTTCGGATTTCACCATCCTTGCTGTGTTTTTTATCAAAACGTTTTTGCGACGTTCTTTTTATTAAGAATATGTAATTGCATTATCTCCGTAGTCTTGCGAGTTGATTGTCTTCGACTGATTGCCGATGTTTCCTTTCGTATTTTAGTACAATTAAATAATATTTTTGATAGGAAAGTTGATTTATTCTGTCATGCCAGAATTCATAGTCAAAAATATTAAGTGGAGATACCTCTGTAACTTAAAGCATTTTACTACAAATAAAAATTGTATGTGTGTGTCAATTGTTAATAATTGAAATTTGCGAAAATTAATTCACAATAATGTATGTGATAGTGAGATTTTTAATTTAATTGGGGCGTAAGTAATCATTTTGAAAGAAATGTATCTTCGTCGTCATGAATTTTTTCCACATGTTCATTAACAGAAAGTGAACATCACCGACCTCACTAAAATAAGTTTGTAACATTGTTCAGCAATAAGAGTATAATTCAATTTCAAAGGCAACTAGCAACAATTTGTTTTACACACTTCCTTTCGAAGTCGCTTACAACACCTCCTACAATAATGCATTAGTTGTGTGGATATGGAAGGCAGTGCCCCATCAGAAAACAGCAGAACTTCTATATTCTGCCAATGACATGATTAAAGTAAAACATATTACCAATCTCAGAACGTCTTGGGAACAATAAGATCCAACTATGTAAGCATTATGAACAAAGTACGGAGAAAAAGCATAGTTCCAGATTGTTGAGCACAATGAGCCATTGATTAAAGTGGGAGTAAATGAGCAAAAGAAATGAATCGTTAACTTAGCCTCCGTATTTAATTTCAAGAATTATTCAGAAAATTGAAGTAACTCAAACGGATCATAAATAAGCAACATACCAGGTCTCCACACAAAAATCACATAAGTGATTCAATCATCGTGCAAATAGCTGGAAGCACTCCTAATCGACAAAACGCAAAGATCTTACCGTATTAAATAAAAAAAACTAAACAAAATTGTATCTCCCAAATCCCATTTTTTTTTGCCTTGGTATTTGACCCTCAGCAGTCGTATACGAATACACACTTGTACATTGAGAGTACGTTTAGTAAATATTTTTTTGTGGATAGTACATTGCAAAAGCACATTACGTTTTTGAAAACGACTAATTGAATAATCCGTTGAAGGTTGGCCGAATGTCCACCGTGGTCAATTTTCACTACTCGCACGCTTGTGTTCCCAATGTTAATTTTGTTTTCTATGTTTTGGTTTCTATGTACCTTTTCTAATGTTATTGTTCATATGAGACTCTATTTGAGTAATTTTAAATAAACTTGAAAAGAGAGATGATAGAAATGTATTGTGATGAGGAAGATAGGGAGTTCTTTGTGAAACTAGGAGTTCATCTCGAATGCGAGGGTGTTTTAATCATTGTCCTTAATAATTTGTTTTGAAAGTTTGTATTTTGAAAAGATTGATTTTGGATACGACGGCTCAATCTGAAAATGTATAAATTAATGTTGGACGTATTATGCATTCATTGAAGTGAAGATGGTTTCGTGAAGGATATGATGGGTTCTTCTAGTGGCTAGTGAAACAGTTGAAGATATTTGCGGTCCGTGTACACCTTATGTCGAATAATTCTTCGAAGTATTACGCATGGAATTGGTGAGAAGCCATGCAATACTGTGGTTTCGGTAGCTGAGAGTGAGTGATCAGGGCTTTGACGGAGAACGAATATTTTCACTTAACTCTTTTGTGTTTATGTGACTGGGCCATTATTTAGGTAATCGGGATATATGATGCTACGATAATTTACTGTTAGACTTTCTATTTAAGTCTC